ATGTGAGAAAAAAATATTGAAATAAAAAATTAAATTTAAATTTTTATAAAAAAAATACTATAATAATATGACTTCATAATTTAAATCATGAAATAAAGTTTAAGATCATGAAATGAAGTTAGGGGACGTTTGTTTCATATATTCGTCAATGATTCTGAATCATGATTCATGATTTTTTATAGTATTTTCTCTCACAAAAAATATACATAAAACAAAAATAATTCTGAATCATAATTCTAAATACATAAACTAAACGTATCTTAAACTTTAAGGATACGGATAAGTTTCTAACATTCTACGTGTACGGTAAGGCAATTGACTCGTACTGCCGTAGGCACCTGACCACTGCCCAGACTTCAACCCAATGAATTTATAATTGGGTTATGGTATTCAATTAAATGGTAAACTTGACAGGATTGACAGGAATAAGTAATTAGTGTTCATTTAGAAAGTATATTTAAATTATAATTTTTAATTTTTTTTTTGTTTAAAATTTAAATTTTTTATAAGAAAAAAATATTATAATAGAATTAAATAATTTAATTTGAGTATACCGTTCAGTTCGTTAATTTGAGTTTTTAATTCGAGTTGAGATGTGATGTTGTGTGAGAGCTTTTTACTATAACAAAAAAGTTAGATGTGACTATTTATGAGAACTTTTTACTGTAACAAAATTCGAATTTTAAACTCGAATCAACGAAAAGAACGAGGCCATAAATGCACTCTTAAACTTATTCAACTATGTCAAAACACAACATCCTCACAGCTAAACGGCTGTTCTTTAGGACAATGTTCTTCGCTTTTAATGGAGGAAAAAATGAGAGAAAAAGTAATTAAGCTAATAATTCTATTGCACAAAAGACTAACAAAGTACCAAACGATCTAATACGACATCTTAAATTGTTTTCTTAATGACAATTGTTTTCTTAATACGACATCAATTGTTCTTTTTCTTGTCAGTTATATGTTCTGTATTGATATATGAACATATCACCAATTAAATATCAGAAGTGACATTCCCTCAAAAAATAAAAAAGAGTGGTAACACCCGGTTAATCTTGAGTCGTTTTCCTTTTCTGAGATTAAAACATAACAGTACACTTGCCAACTAAAAAGCTGTTATTTAGCTGTTAGTTTATACCCTTTAAAGCGCTTGCTTATGAAAGCTTTTTAAAAGATGTTTTTGACTGTGGCTTTTAAAGCTACTTTTAAGAGTCTTTGAATAATTTTTCATGTTTTGACTTTTTAAAAAAAATTTAACAGTTAAAATTATAAAATGAGACTTTTAAAAAATTATTTTTAAATAGATTTTAAATTTAATGTCAGAGTTAAAGAGTTTTATTAAGACATTATAAACTTAATTTTAATATTTTTATTGTTTATTAAAAAATTTAAAATTATATTTAACTTATTACACTTTTTTATTCCAAACACTTGCAATAAAATCATAGTTTTTTCTTCTCTTCTTTTTTTACAGACTAAAAACAAAAATTCAACCAAAACGGACTTTAAGTTCTATCTATAAATGATCGGCCCCTTTTTTTCTTTTTCTTTTTTTTTATAATTATTTTTGACACCCACGCCAAAATGGGAATGGACCTACGAGAGAGAACACGATTTAGAATTAGAGGTGTTCATCAATCTATCCACACATGCACGATTTTGACAAAATTACATCTAATCCACTCTGCATTTAACATATTAAACGATCCAATCCAAACTCCACTAATCGGTTTTCGGCCTACTCAGCAAAAATTAAAATTTGTAGTGATTTTTCCATGATTTATTTATTTCCTGAAAAAGGAATATTTAAAGCTGGATTAAAAACTAAAATATATCCATATAACAATATTACTTTATATATATAAGATTATAAACCGATCCAATGTCACATCGTTTCCACATGATACAATTGAAAATAAAATTAAAACTCATAGATAATTAGATTAAGCTTCTATACCTAAACCTGGAAATGTTGGAAAAAACATATATATACTGTGTGTGTGTAAATATATAGATATATCACTTTGGATACCATATCATAATTATCTCTACTCATGAAAAGTTATGCTTTCTGTTGAATCAGGAAATTCATGGCATTTTTTCCGACTATTCACAAGAACGCGCTACTGTAAGATTATATAACCCGTGTCATTGTCCGGAAGCCTAGTAACTAGAGTGGTCATCATTTTCCGACTACTCCAATTCAACGATGTTATGGCGCTGTTTGTTTTTATTTTTCACATTTTTTGAGGTTAAAAATTGAAAACGTGTATAAAAAACGCGTTTGGCGTAAAAATTTTTACAAAACAAAAACAAAACCGTTTTTGTTGTTTTTTAAAAATCTGAAAACGAAAAAAACTTGTTTTCATTTTCTCCTCGTTTTCCTTTTCTCTCTTCAGCCCACCAGAGACCCTCGACTCCACCTCCTACATGAACGTGTATCCTCCTCCTGGCCTTTGCAGATTAGGAAGAAGCAGTCGTCGACGAGGCGCTCGTGCTCGACGACCTCGCCGACGTCAGCGGTGCCGGAGACGGCGTCGGAGTAGATGACGCCGAAGCGGTGGCGGCGGCAGCCCCCCTCCCCCCATTCTTCTCCGACTGCACCACCGCCACCCCCACTCTTGTCCGACTGCCCCCCTCCCCCGCTGCCGCCGCTCTTCTTCGCCCGCCCACCCGCC